GGGGGGGACATTTTTGCTACTTTAACAAAGGTTTTCCACTGACTCACAACATTGTTTACCATGCAAGAGTGAAATTATATGTTACAGAAACGTATTTTTTGTTCCATACTTGCACGATCCCCCAAAACAGAAGAAAGCTGTTAAGTATTCATGATGACTCTTAATTATCCTTGTAGTTGTATCTTATTTTGAAATTTGACTGCAAATTTCCTTTTATGAAAATACAACTGTTCTTTCTCCCTGATGTGTACAAATGTAGGGGATTGAAATATCAGATGCAGTGTGAAAATAAAATTTCAATTAAGAATATAGCTTTAAAAGTGTGTGTTATCTTTATTATTTAAACCATATATTAATACATTATGACCACATGGTGGTAGTACTGTATAATGACACATGATGTACTGGTTAGACATTCAATATGGATGTGAGGTTTTGCAACTTTTGTAGTTATGAGTGTTCTGTTACTATAGCATTATTTTCTATGTTTTAGGTGGACTTGTCACAAACTGGACAATAGCCACATCCACAGCCCATGAATATGTCTAAAAAATGCCTAAATTTCAAATAAAACAGTCTGATCATATAAGATTGCTAAGGAAAAAAAGCTTTTTGTAACCTGTTTTACTTCTATTCAAATGTTGTAAGCTTAGTAATTGATAAAAAAAAAATAAAAAAAAATTAAAGATGCGTGAAGGAGATTAATTGTTCCCCAGATCTCTGAGAAAACAACTCCATGGTCAGAGACGTGAAGCTAGAGACATTGGCGGCCATATTCAAATGTATTCCTGGTCCCAGGGTTGGCGACATCAAATCGTATTTGAAGCTGCTAAGGATATGCGTAAATACAGTAAGATTGTTAATCACGTCAGCGCTAATGACTCCCGACTAAGATTAATGTTGAGTCCGTGTGTAACTTCGCAAAAACAATTTCAGACTCAGTAGTTTTCTGTGGACCACTGCCCAATCTGACCAGTGATGACATGTTTGGCCGCATGTTGTCATTCAACCACTGGCTGTCTAGGTGTTGTCCTGAAAACCATATGAGCTTCATAGACAACTGGAAAACATTTAGGGGAAAACCTGGCCTGATTAGCAGAGATAGCATCCATCCCACTTTGGATGGTGCTGCTCTCATATCTAGAAATCTGGACGAGTTTATTTTACAACCTAAATTATGACAACACAGAGTTGAGTCCAGAATTCTCAGACCTTCTGTCTGATTTAGTGCTTAGAACAGATCAAATAATCATGGTGAGTGACTTTAATATCCATGTAGATGCTGACAATGACAGCCTCAACACTGCATATCCATGTAAATGCTGACAATGACAGCCTCAACACTGCATTCAATTCATTAGACTCAGTTGGCTTTTCTCAAACTAAGTAAACTCACTCACTGTTTTAATCACACCCTTAATCTTGTTCTGACATATGGCATCGAAGCTGAACACTTAATAGTTTTTCCCCAAAACCCTCTTCTGTTTTACCATTTTCTAATAACTTTTGAATTTACATTAATGGATTATACACTATGTGGGGGAAAAATTCCATTACAGTAGATGTTTATCTCACAATGCTGTTACCAAGTTTAAGGAAATAATTCCATCATTATTTACTTCAGTGCCATGTGTCAGCACAATGGAGGATGGCCACCTTAACTTGACTCTTACACAAGTTCATAATCTTGCTGATAGTACTGCAGCCTCCCTGCATATGACACTTGATACCGTTGCCCCTCTGAAAAGGAAGGCAGTGAAACAGAGGAGGCTAGCCCCGTGGTACAGCTCGCAGCTCCGCTCCCTAAAGCAGGCATCATGAAAACTGGAAAGGACGTGGCGCTCCACTAAGTCAGAAGAGTTTTTTTCTAGCCTAGAAAGATAGTTTAATAACATATAAAAAGCCCTTCGTAGTGCTAGAACCAAATGTTATTCATTACTGATAGAGGAAAAAAGAACAACCCCAGGTTTATTTTCAACACTATAGCCAGGCTGACAAGGAGCCACAGTGCTGTTGAGCTTAATATTCCCTTAGATCTCAGCCCTAATGACTTCCTGAGCTTCTTTACAAATAACATCACAACTGTTAGAGAAAAAAAATGTATCAAATCATTCTCTCACAGATGTGCCATCTACTACAATGGCTTTAGAATCAGCTGTAAGACCTCATTTATATTTAGAGTGCTTCTCTCCCATAAATCTCTCTGAGTTGACCTCAACAATTGCTTCATCTAAATCATCAACATGTCTCTTAGACCCCATCCAGACCCGGCTGCTCATAGACGTTTTACCCCTAATCAACACATCCATACTAGATCTGATTAACCTCTCTCTATTACCAGGCTATGTTCCACAAGCTTTTAAAGTTGCTGTAATTAAACCTCTACTCAAAAAGCCTACTGTCGACCCACGTGTACTGGCTAATTATATATCTGATATCCAATCTCCTCTTTATTTCTAAAATCTTTGAAAAGGCTGTTGCAAAGCAGTTATGTGACCACTTACACAAGATTGATTTGTTACAAAGGACTCATCTCTGTTCTTGTCCTTTTAGATCTGAGTGCTGCTTTTGACACCACTGATCACAGCATCTTATTACAGAAACTTGAAAATGTCATTTGGATTAAAGGAACTGCACTAAATTGGTTCAAATCTTCTTTTTTTTTTTAAATCAGAAAGATTCCAATTTGTTCATGTTAATGATGATCTTCCACACAAACTGAAGTTAGTCATGGCGTTCCACAGGGTTCTGTGCTAGGTCCAATTCTCTTCACTTTATACATGCTCCCTTTAGGCAATATTATCAGGAAACACAGCATAAATTTCCATTG